GGGTGGTGCAGGGCGGGGGGGCCGCTGCCGTGGTTTTTGCGGGAGGGGAGGGTGGGCCGCACTGGCCCGGCCGGCCGAGAGCCGGCGGTGACCGAGCAAAGGTGAGCTATGCCGCGGAAGACCTCCCCAAGGCCTTACATTTAAACTACAGCTGAGACGATACGTAGTACTTCCATACTCAGGGTGCCCTATAATCAAAATTCGCTGTCCAGCTAGCAGAAGACGATATATCAAAGTTACCAAAAAAAAAACACGCTAGTGAAACTTCAGAGGGAGCTGCAGTCCTTGAAGTATTTATAAATTCAGCAGCAATTCAAGGAGGTACTCCGTGGTCATGAAGAGAAACCTTTCATCTCACAAACGATCGGCTCCATGGCGGAAAATACCAGAGGGGCGGGGAGGTTTCATCTGCGGATGGACGGCGGCCCCAAAGCGCGCTGAAGGTGCTAAGACGGGTTGGTGTATGCCTGTGTGTGTTCGGCCCAACCTGGGCTCTGAATTTTCTGGTTAGGGGTTTCTTGCCACAATGGGTTGAACTGAGATACAAAACCAGAACGACGTGGTCGCTGGCCTGCAAGGAGCAACAAAATCCAGCCCACAGTACATAACCATTTTGTCTGAGTCAAGTCCATGTGTGTATTAATGCAGCTTTTGAGAGAAACCCAGTAAAAATAATCCTTTGCTTGTTTGATTTACAAGTCTATAACAAAGCGTAAGCCTGCTTATGTTTACTTCACAGCACAGCTAAACACTCATTTTACTTGTACATTGCCAATGAAATTTTTTGTTTAAATTAAAAAAAAACCTAAAAAATAAAGACTAGAAAACTGTTGCTGCCCTTTAAAGGCACATTGTTATTCATCATCAGTGCGTTTTAGTTTCCACTTTAGGTAGCATATGAAGGATTAGGATTTCAATGAAAGAGGGGGACAGAATAAATTGCATCCTCTACCAAAGAACTGCCAAACCTTTTCAGATGGGTGCATACCATGAGCCCTTCCCATGTTAGTCAGCTTTATCTAAACCTTCCAAAGCAATGTCTGCCCCTGAATTTCATGGGTTTCAGGGTCAGTCACAACAGAATTGTGGGGCTGGGGAGGTCAGAGGCCATTTTTGTCAAAGGGTAGTGACCTTAGCAGCAAGAGGTAGCCTGACAAAAACAGGATTCATGCTAGTGAATGGAGTTCTCACTGCTCTTCCCCCGCTGAGTCTTTTTTCTACCTGGTAATGAAAAATCTTGAAGAATTGTAATGGATTTTTATATGCATGCTTACATACGTGTTTGTGTGTGTGTATACGACTATTCAAAAATATTATATATGTTACATTAGTTATGCTATAATACATAATATTACAATATACTATATTGTTTGTTACATCTATCTTTTGTTATATGTTTTAGCCCATGAAAAAGATCACACTTTTAATAAAATGTTTATTTGTTGTGAGAAGAGAGGAGAAAGACAGAAAGTGAGCAAGAAAAAAGAAAAAGAAGAAAAAATAAACAAGAAAAAAAACAAGAAAAAAGAAAAAGAAAAAAGAAATAGAAAAAATAAAAGGAAAAAAGAAAAAAGAAAGGAAGAA